TGTTTCCTTCTCATCAGCAAATATTATTGCTATACACAGAAGAAAATATTTGTTTTACTGGATATTGCAGCAGGAATAGCTATATAATAAGTTTGTTATTTTTATTGTACAGTGTCAAATAGATCTAAAACATAAAATGGAAAATTGGTGGTCATAGAATTATACAAATTAACCCCAGATTTCCAATTTTTATTTTGCAGTTATAATTTTTCATTCTTATAAAGCCAAATAAAATTTATAAAAATTGAGGATTTTTTTCATATAAATAAACTGCATGTTTTTCACTGTGTAAATAAATTTTTCTAATGAAAGGATGATAATGACAGCATTTCAAATTACAATAAATAAGAAGGTGATGATGTCCTTCCCTGTAGCATCTATTTTAATACATATGCTTTCAGTTGGCTGGAGAAAAGCAAGGCCCTAATGGTTATGGAATTTATTTCAACAAACAGATTTTGACTAGATGATTATTATATAGCTTGAGTTAAAAAAGTTACAGGAATGTTATTTTTTTTTATAAGAGCACAAAATATTTTAAAAACCTCAAGGCCTCTGACACTTCTGAAAAGTGTGCTCGCTTGCTAACTTATTCATTTACTTATGTTAGCAAGTTTATTAAAAAAATGGTAATAGGAGTCAGACAAATCTAAGGTACAGTCTTGGCTCTGCCCCTTAATAAGTCCATCACCCAGGAGCAATATATTTTATATCTCTGAGCTTGTTTCCCTTAAAATATGCATAATAATCTCTAATTTGTAGGCTAGCTGGTGAATTTAGAAATCTGTATAGTAATCAACGTAGTACCAGGAACCTGGTTGTATTCAATCAATAACAGTTTTCTTTATTTAAGGTCTGCAACTTTATTTCATTCTGGTTTCATAACGGGATATGCTTAAATCATTATTTCCTACATCAAAGTTTCCTGTGTTTGCTTCCTTCAATGTAAATGACCTCCTGTCTCAACAAAATGTACTAAAATATATTAAGGTGGAAACAGTCAAAGAATTTGCAGCCTGTCCTTTGACCCGCTCCTCCTAGTGCTGAAGATTGAACTGAGGTCCTTATATAAGCTAGGTAAGCACTCTACCACTTGAATTATATACTCCCAGCCCATGCAGTTTTTCTTTTCTAGATCATAATATAAGACTTTATGTGTGTATGTATGTATGTATGCTCCTTGGTTATTTCTGTCTGTAAGAGTAATCCTGCCCTTGAATTACTGAATATAATAAAGGGCTGGACCTTGGCTTTGGCTGTTACATATATTCCTATTACCTAAACCTGGTTCCCACAAGCACTTATGTTTGCAACGTCTTGTTTTAAACACTGACTTTTTTTAGGCTCTCACTAAAAGCTATGTCTACATATAATTACTAGAAAAGTGAAACACAAAGCAAGCATATACTATTAAACAATCAAATGTGGGGGCTGGGGTGGTGGCTCTGTGGTAGAGTGCTCGCCTAGCATGCATGAGGCACTGGGTTCGATCCTCGACACCACATAAAAACAAACTAATGTATCCACCTAAAACTAAAGCTACATTAAAAAAAAAGAAACAATCAAATGTGTGATAATTTAAAATATTTACCTGATGAAATATGGGATCTTTTACATGAAGGTAAACCTGCAAAATATTAGAAAAATACATGTGAATGAAGTGTATTATGGAGGGGGAATAAAAACCTATTCCATCCACTTTGTAGATCCCAAACCTTTCCTGCTAATCTCATTTTGTTTGGACTTGACTCCAATCATGTAAAGCCAATCAGATTAGGTAGCATGGCACACAAAGTGCTAGTGCATACAGATGGCTCTCTACCAGTGCTAACCTTGCCATGGTAAATTAAATATTTCAAATCTATTGTGAACTACTCTGACTTCTTGGCCTTTGTGTGATAATCAAGTAGATAGAAGAATGCATGAAGACTCATGAAGAGGGAGGAAGTTATGCTGATAATTCCTGTACTGCATCTATTCTATAGTAGAAAGAACACTGAA